AATGAAGCTTGGCATCACAGTAAAAACGCTTAACATTTTAAAAAGAAAACACTCCTGGGAAGACCCTCCCCCCACGCCCTCCTTCCGTCTCCCATCCCTTCTTTCGAATGAGTCCCTAAATTCCTTAATTGATTTGGCCCTTTGTGTTGTTTATGAGGACTTTAAGAAATCAGAGAATTAAGGCTAGAAACTCTTTTTCCTTCTGGCTACTCTGTGCTTGGCCAGAGGCCACCTATTTCTCTTTCTGTTACTAATTCACATTCGGGAGAGAGCCATTACTCAGCGACTGTGCCCACCTGTGTTTATCTTGCGGCAGCCCAGAGTTTCTAAAACCCAACCTAAGACTGTAAGGCGTCCGCCTCGGTGTTTATTTTCCTCTCTGCTTCTCCGGGTCCATTTTTCCAGTTGAAAACAGGCTGCTCTGTATACAGGAAGAACATTTGCCTGGTATGCCTGGCCGCCTACAGTCCCAAAGACTTAATTGATTCGTGGCTGTGTATTGTTGAGCTAATAAGCGGTGGCCTGATTGACATCGTTGACAGAAGGCAGCTTGTATTTGTGAAGAGTCTTCTGTGTGCCCTGCAGGTGATGTACATCTTCTCCTGAGCCCTTCACTGGTTTGTGAAGTCACCGTTTGTAACGCCATCTGACATAGAGGCATAGAGTACAGCCGTGCCCAGGCTCCCCGTCATCAAGGAGCTAGACCTGCTGGGGGATTCGATCCACAGCCCTCTTGTTTCTCATGCGGGCAGAGGTTATCCGGATGGCCTATCTGCCCCTGGTTTCAATCTTGGCTGCAGATGAGTTCTGTGTTCTAGGCAAGTAGCATGACCTCACTGAGTCAAAGGAAATGTCATCTTCTAGACACGGGAGGGTGTTAGTTGGTTAGAGCTGAAGTGGGTACCTCATAAAGATCCGACAGTTACTGCTCACAGCTGTGGAGGCTGGCAAGCCCGAGATCAGGGCCAGCAGATTCAATGTCTAGTGAGAGTTCTCTGTCTGGTTCATGGTGCTACCTTCTCATGTGTCCCCACTTCGTAGAAGGGCAAAAATGTTCCCTCGGCCATTTCTGCAAGGACAGCAATAGTCCCTTTTGAAAGACCTCTGTTGTCCTGACCCAGTTGTCTCCCAGATGTCCCACTTCCCAACGATACCACACTGGGGCTTCGGTTTCGCCATGTGAATTTGGGGGATACCCAATATTCCGACTAAAGCACAGGACAACACCTCCCAGGGTTGAGGTAATTTAAGGAACCATCCACACGGGGCATTTGCCAGCACCTTCTACTCAAAGTAGAATGGGATAGATGCTATCAGTCACTGCAGCATTTATGGAGCTAGCCAGTTCTCTGTGTGTCGGAGAGCCAGGGATAGGGTGGGTGCTGGGGCGGGGCGGGGGGGGGTGGGGTGGCAATAGAAGCAGTGGGAGGTTGGGTGGGTGGAAGCCTGTGGACAGGATGGACCTGGAGTGCACCTGCTCCCTGTCCAGCAGGAGGCCTGCCTTCCTGCAAGAGAAGAGAAGGCAAGGCCAATGTTAGCCTGAGTTATACAGACAGCTCAGGGGATACATCTCTCTCAAGTCCGTTTCAGAAGAGCCCCAGGCTAGGAGTGGCCAGGGACTGCCAGGATTCCAGGACACAGAGGACCTTCATTAGGGTTGGAGTGGAGGACAGGGTGAAATTAAATAAGTTCCTAAGACACGGAGCCTGAGGGACAGACTCTACGGCGGCCTCTCTACCAGGCGGCACAGGGACCGATCCTCCTTCCTCACTTACTCCTTGCCGTGCCTGTTTGGATCTCACAGAGCTGAGTGGTCCATTCTCTGTGCTGATGGTGAGAGGTTACTCCTGGACATCCCATCTGGCACTTGCCCTACTTGTAAAACACAAAGCAGCGAAGGTCCTTAAAAGTGATGGAGGATTTCCCACCTCACGTGTGCCTGGTTTGTAGAGCTAAGGTACCAGACAGACCAAGGAACAGCAGAGCTATCCTACACCAATGGCTTCCGGGTCCCTTTTCTCATGAACTCAAAGAATGAAATTCACAGATAATGGGAGGTTGAGTTTAGAAAGCAGTGTTAGTATAGGATTTTCGGTGGGAACTTAAGAGAAAAAAGGAAGGCAGAACTCCTGTATAGCAGGAGGGGATCCCAGAAAATGGGGCACCATCAAGCTGCTAGGCCAAGGGCTTCTTGTAGAACTTAGAGCAGAAACTGCACGGGGAGGTGAGCTGGTCAGTCCAGTTGACCTACCTATGAGATGTCTATGCTTCATAGTTTCCATTATGTCTTCACGTATAGTTTCCAGGCAATAGGGCTCATTGCAATTGTGTAAAAGGGGAAGAAAACTGACAAGAAACCAGACCAGGAAACAGAGCCCCCTTCTGGCATTTCTGGCCTCTAGCCAGGACAAGACCAAAGACATTGTGGGCTTTATGGCCGAGGACAAGAATGGTGGTTCCTATCTCTAAACTGCCAGTTTTGATATTCTGCCCTCATCATTGGAAATGACTCTTGGTTATGGCGGGTAGGACACTAATGATTCATTATTGAGCATTTTGACTTCTGAAAGATGGACTTGGAAGGAAAGAGGCTAGCAGGTGGGTAAGCACAGCAGGGAGACCCGAGTCCAGTGAAGACAATATAAGGGAACAGAATGACAAGCTCGCGGAGAAGGTAGTGTGGGTGCCTTACCTGGGGACATTTATTTGTGAACAACTTTATCAAATTCAGAACATCTGAGGAGAGTACATAAAGTGATATGGCAAGAAGTGACCAGAGAATTTTAAAACACAGCAAGAAACCTGCTGACTTAAAAAAAAGAAAAGTTAAACTCCATCCAGCCCATCAGATCTGTTCCAGAAATTAAGAGCCGAGCTTATATATTTGAATTTGGATCAATACTGATTGGTTAACTGATTGAGTCCTCCTAAAATGTCAAGAGAATGATCGACAGGGAAAATGTCCATCCTTTTCCTGCTGCTTCTAGCTTCATGGTTTTCTTTTCTGGGGAGTAGATTAGAGGCATTTTTATTTTAAGGGTAACCTTGGCAGGTTTTGGAAAGCACACACCCAGTGCTTTCAGACAGTAAGCCCTACAATGCTCATTTCTAAGTAGTTCTAATAGCATAAAAGGGGATGCTGGTCAAGTGGATATTTTATTAAAATGATCTGCATGAGTCAGCTTGACGTGGTCCTGGGTATCTTGTGGTTGGGGGCAAAATTCACTGATTCTCTTGAATCGTTTGGACTGCGTTAGTTCACTCTATACTAAGGGAGAGAGCATCCCAATGAAATTAGTCACTGCACAGGTCTTAACCTAAGTGTTCTTTCACTGTTGCTGTGGAAACCAGAAAGAAAAAGCACGGGTCGAGAAAGAAAAATAATCAGTGCTAAACATCAGCAAAATACATTGGCAATAAGCTGCTTTTTTTTTTTAATACTGAATTTTTAAGAAATCACAAGACCTGGAACCATGCTGAGACTGAGAAGGTTCTGAGTGAATCATGTAATGAAATCATATACCATTCCTTAGGAAAAATTATGAAAAACAAATAGTAGCCCCCTTTTTTCCTTTTTTACCAATAATGAACTCAGATGTACGTGTGTGTGTGTGTGTGTGTGCACGCTAGGAATGGAACCTAAGGCCTGGTTCATGCTATACATATGGACATGCTCAGGCAGTACCGCTGAATCTCTAATCATTAGCCACATCCACGTAGCCGCAGCTAGATAGGACACATGTCTCTATGTAATCATTTGGCTTAAACAGGAAGAGGAACCAGTGACTCATGGAGAGACAGATACTGTCTGCTGAGATGGTTTCTTCTGGTCGGGGAAGGGACAGAAGCATGAGGTGGTAGCAGCCTGACCTGGGCTGCAGATCGCCCTAGGATGTTAGGAGGCAGAGGAGGCCCTCTACTCTGGCACCAGCTAGAGTTAACTAGGTTAACCAGAGCCTTTGTGCCCCATAAGAGAGTGGCTTCAGAATTGCTTGTCATCTGTGGGTGTCCTTTGAGAGGATAGAACACTGTGGTTTAGTGTCTTGTCATACCAGAGCCCACAGGGATAGACAGAGGCAGGGTGGCTGTACAAAGATACCGGAACTTTTGATCCAGCCTTGAGATGTTGACAGCAAGGCTGAGGGTTGGAGGATGCAAGGGGTCATAAATGACAGCTGATGGCTGGACCTGGGCTGCCGGCTCTTCTGTCCCCAGAGTCAAGCTTTCTTCCAGGTCTTTCTGCTACTTTTTTCCCCCCTTGAAACAGGGTTTCTCTACATAGCCCTGGCTGTCCTGGAACTTGTTATGTAGACCAGGCAGGTCTTGAACTCACAGAGAAGCATCTGCCTCGGCCTCCAGAATACCGGGATTAAAGATGTACATAGCTTAGTTTTGCAGTCTGATACTTTGAATGATTTTTTTCTTTCATAAATTATTTAACTAAGGAAATAAGCCTGCATGTCAGGTCTGACCAATTAAAATGCACTTCATTAATTTTTAAATGGTATTCATTTTTATCAAAAAGGAGTCATTTGTATTTCTGTGAAATTTAACTCTCCATAATTCATTTATATGTGTTTAAAAATTAAGGAGATTGTTTTGATCGTTCTGAAGCTGCAAAGCATGGGGGCATTTATATCTTGATGCAAGCTGCTGGATTGTGTGTGCGCGCGTGTGCATGTGTGTGTTTATAGATATGTAGTGTGACACGGATCTGTTAGGTGTCTGTAACAAGAATAAGGTATCATTTGCTGGAAAGCAATATCAGAATATCAATCATATTGCATATACATTATAATAAGTTGGTAAACACCCGTTCAGAGGTAATAAAAATGAGCAGCATGCAAAAGTAGCATCTTAGTGTTCTATACCTGGCTAAATCCTAACACTCACTCTGTGGTAGCAACTGTAAGCTCAGTGAATGGAGTTTGTAAAGCTTTATCATGTCACTCACAAGTATTGTTTTGGAAACAAGTGTTTTCCTTTGTACCCTTCTACAGAGAGAAGGTCTCTCCAGGACATCATGCGGAGTGCCACCAAGCCCTGGAGTCCAGTTGCCAAAGCAGGCAGCCATGGCCCTGATCGCACCCGGCCCCTCCCTGGGACCCCTTCCGGCATGAAGAGTTCCAAGTCTTCAACCTCGCTGGCCTTTGAGTCTCGGCTTAGTAAGGTACAGACTTTCAGGGCAGGGCTGTGAGGATTTTATACTCACACCTGAATATTTGGAGCTAGGAACTTTAGCTCTGTTTGTCTTTCTGTGTCTGGATTATCTCACTCAAGATTTTTGTTTGATATTTTGATTTTTTGTTTAATATTTTCCTTTTTGTTTGTTTGTTTGTTTTTGTTGTTGTTGTTGTTGTTTGAGACAGGGTTCCTCTGTGTAGTCTTGGCTATCCTGGAACTCACTTTGTAGACCAGGCTGGCCTCAAACTCATAGAGATTCACCTGCCTCTGCCTTCTGAGTGCTGGCTGGGATTAAAGGCATGCACCACCACCACCTGGCTGAGATAATATTTTCTACTTCCACCCATTTACCTGGCTGGGCCCAGGTGTAAGATCTACTATGCTGGGCTAGATAGAGAAGTTGGGTGTCAGGACGGTATTTAAGGAAGGTACAAGAGTGTTTCTGGGGCCAGGCGGTGGTGGCGCATGCCTTTAATCCCAGCACTTGGGAGGCAGAGCCAGGCAGATCTCTGTGAGTTCAAGGCCAGCCTGGGCTACCAAGTGAGTTCCAGGAGAGGCGCAAAGATACACAGAGAAACCCTGTCTCAAAAAAAAAAAAAAAAAAAAAGAGTGTTTCTGGGGACAGTGTGATGCTGGCCATTCCAACAGCAAAGGTCATTGCTTCAGAAGCTCCTGCCATAGGAGAGTGTTAAGGAGAAGCACACACTCATGTGGTAGGCTCCCTGTTCTCCATTCTGAGCCATGAGCTTTCTTGGCCTGGTATTATGACAAGGCTACCAGGGGCTGGGAAAGGTGGTAGGAGGACTTGAACTATGCCTGAATCTTGCTAGCCCTGTCCTTTCCAGCTGAGGGTGGGCAGTGGATCACTGAAACTCCAGAGAGCAGAAGAGAAGAGGAGGAAATGGTGATGATCAGAAAAGCAAGTAGATTTCCTTCCCCAGTGAAAACTTAGAAGCCGATAGGGAAGTTGCAACCCATAGCAAATATCCCTAGAGCCCTGCCTGGACTAGTCAACATGGTAATGTTTGAGAGTAAGTGGATGTGGACGTCTTAACTGTTCACAAATAGGAAATGGAATCAAACCCACCCAAAATCGAGCTGAATCCCTAATTTCAGATGCTGCCTGAGCTGCAGGAGATGCAGGAAGAACAGGCAGGGATGCTGCTGTAAACCTTCTTCTTGGTATGCAAGCAGCAGCATGCATGCTCTGGCCTCAACAGGCCACATCACTCCAGCCGCACCAAAGAACCCAGGGCTGTGAGTCAGAGCTCACTTGGTTACAGTCGACAAAACATTGGTTTGAGTTTGTATGAGCAGAAAAGAAATCTGAGTTGTACCTCACTGTCCACAGGCATCTTCTTCTAGGATTCCTGTGGATGCCAAAACCTGTGGGTGCTCTAGGGCCTCATCTGAAACAGGGTAGTATTTTCATAGAACCTGTGAGCCCTGTGAGCCCTGGATGCCTCTAGCATCTCTGGATTACTTATAATGTCTAATTGAGCATAAATTAGCTGTCACACTGTGATGTTTTAGGAATAAGGATGAGGAAAATAATCTGTATTTTCTGAACAGATGCTGTTTTTTTTTCCTACTATTTTTGAGTATAGTTTGGATAAGCCCAAGGATGATGGTAAAATGAATATATCCTAAGGTTCCCACATCTCTATGGGACAAGGGCTCAAGACTGCATCTCTGAGAGGCTGGTCCAAGAGGACTGGACTCTCTAGCTGGTCTCTGCCCACTCTGCCCACTGCTTCTGTGTCATCTCCTGATGCCCAGCCTGGTCCAGAACATATGTGAAGTATATGGCCAGTCTGCTGACCTCCTGCATCTCTGGGAAGGCTGAATCGCCTTTTTCTTCATTTCCTATTTGTTTGTTTGTTTTTTAATTTTATTTTTTGTTTTGTTTTTTGAGACAGGGTTTCTCTGTGTGGTTTTGGTGCCTGTTTTAGATCTTATTCTGTAGACCAGGCTGGCCTCAAATTCACAGAGATCCACCTGCCTCTGCCTCCCGAGTGCTGGGATTAAAGACGTGTGCCACCACCACCTGGCCATTTCCTATTTGTTAATAAAAGGAAAGGAGAACAACAAAGAAAAATAAGAAAGAAAAACCCATAACTGAGAGTGGTTAGATGCTGGTCCCATGCTGGCCCTGCACAGGCTGCTGGGCCTTGCAGCTAGGGACCTGTTTGGGGACGTCGAATCTTCCCAGCATGTACTGTAACAGTACTACATCCTTGAAGGGAAGAGCAGTCTTCCAGCATGGGCTCATTGTCTGAGTCTTGAGTCCTAAGTAGTGTTCTGTGATAGTTCCTATAAAATGCTCTCAATATGGTTGCCCCTAGCCACCTGTGGCATGGAGCCCTTTAAAGAGTTAGTACCCGAAATTCAGGAGATCCCACTAACATACAGGCATGAGCCATGAGATGATGCTTCAGCCAGTGATGGACACGTGTGCAATGGCTCTATAACATTATAGTGGGCTTGAGGACTTTCGATACCCTAGTGGCATAGCCGTTGTAAGGTCAGAGCACAGTGCGTTGCTCATGTGTGTGTGGTAACATGTTTGTGTGACTGCTTTGCCAGTCCTATGAGGGAACGGCATACCCAGCTCTCTAATCAGTATGATAAAGTTTGAAAAGCTGGTAACCAGCTGTGTCCCTGGTTTATGTATTTGCCATGCCTTTAATAACTATTCTGGAGCGTGCCTACTTACAAAGACAGAAATGTGCTGTGTGAGGCTGTGTGAGGCTGCAGGTGTTTCGTTCACAAGTGCTGCTGACCACATCTGCTGAGTTGGTCCTTTCTCTTGTCTTGATGTGCTGTTTATTTATCATGACCCCAGAAACAATGTCGCTATATACATACATGCATATATGTATACTATCTCTATAATCTCTCTATATACTGTATAACTTATTGTGCAGTGGTTTGTGGAAGCACATTCTGTGACGTTTACACCATGAAAGAATTGCCTAGCTGTGCGTTTCTCAGAATATCTCTTCATTAAATGACTATGAGCATTTTATATTGATCACATTGATACTATTTTTATATATTCATTTAAAAATAAATAAATTCCCCTTGTTTGTATGAGTGTTTATTCGTTTGGCTGCACATGTGGGTGTGCATGCATGTGTGTGTGGAGGCCGGAGGTCAACATTAGGGATCTCTTTAGATTGCTGTCTACCTTGCATGTTAATACAGTCTTACTGAACCAGGAGCTCACTAGTTTGCTAGGCTGGCTGGCTAATGAGCTCCAGGCATCCACCTGTCTCTCTTCTCCCAAGGATGTTGCTGCGTTTTTATATGGATGCTGGGGTTCTGAGCTCAGGTCCTCAGGCCTGTGCAGCAGGGATTTTACTGACATAATCCTCACCTATAGCCATTGCCTATGAAGTCTGTCTGTCTGTCTTTCTCTTTTCTAAGACAGGGTCTCTCTATGTAGCCATGGCTGTCCTGGAACTCACTGTTTAGGCCAGGCTGGCCTCAGACACACAGAAATCTGCCTGCCTCTGGCTCCCAAGTACTGGGATTAAAGGCATGTGCTACCACACGCTGTATAAAGTTTAATTTTAAAAAAATTATTGTTATTGTATATTATTGTCATGGTGGTGGTGATGGTGATGCTGGTCCTGGGACAGGTGTGTGGAGTCTGGAGGGGAGTCTGTTCTCTCCTGCCACCATGGCTCTGGCAGGTGATTGTCAGGCTTGTGTAGCAAGCACTTTACCCAGTGAGCCATCTTCCAGGCTGCCATAAGGTCCTTTATTTGCTTTAGTTTACTTTTGAATGTAGCTCTCAGACAGTGTAAAATTACGAGGTGAGTCCTATTCGATTTCCACAGACAGGCTGCTCTAAACATTGTCACGGTCCCTAGAAATGTCTGCCTGAGACCTGGGGACTCAGCAACTTGGTGGTTGGTGTTGAGTTCAAGAAGAGATGAAGTCACAGGCTGGAGAGATGGCTCAGAGGTTAAGAGCACTGGCTGCTCTTCCAAAGGACCCGGGTTCAATTCTCAACACCCACATGGCAGCTCACTGCCTATAACCCTGGTTCCAGGGGATCCAGCACCCTCACACAGACCTACATGTAGGCAAAACACCAATGCACATTAAATAAATAAATAGATAGATAGATAGATAAGAAAAAGAAGAGATATAGTCAGGTGTTTGTATTTAAACAAACCCTCGCCATAATTGATAGCAGCTTGTCTTTGAGGACCACAAACAGAGAGAGTTACCTATTGCTAGAGACTAGCTTTTGTTGCAGCTGATGATGGAGCTTTGAGGTCTTGCTCTCATCTTTGTGAAATGGAGAGGAGTTTCTTAGTTACTTAGATCAGTGAGGCATTTAAACCTGTTCCTTTGTGAGCTCAGGTGCTCAGCAGCTTAAATCCGAGAGAAACCCTTAGTGAGAGCACTGACTACACACACCGACCTGAGCACATACCTTCATGGGGATCTTCCGTAGCAAGCCAGAAACCTAGACAGGTGCCAAGCTGCCTTTGGGTAACAGGAAACAAAGCCAAAAAATGCAGAAAGAACATGAGGCAGTAACCGGATCGGGTGCTCTCCCAGCTTATGCTTCCTACACCAGTAACTCGCTGCTTCCTTTCCAAGGGGTGGTGGGGTCATTTGTAAATCTTTATGTCCTACATCTTGGGCAAGTGTCACTGCAACCAAGCTTGTGTACCTGCACACGGAGGGGACAGCCTCCAGTGCTTAGAGCACTCCTGAGATTAACGAGACACACACCTTTGGGTATGTCTGTAAAGGCTTTTCTGGAAATGATTAACTGAGGAAGGAAGGCCCACTGGATAAGAAAGGGGAGAGGCAGCTGAGCTCCACCTCTCCCACCATCCCCCCCTCCCCACACGGAGCTGCTGAGGAATAAGCAAGCAGCCTCTTGCCGCTGGTCCTTTCCAGCCATCACGGACTGTATCCCCCAAGCAGTGAGCCAAAATAAATCCCTTCTTAATTTTCCTCTAGCCAGTTATTTGGTCATGGCAATGAAAATGTCATTTATTCGTAAAATTGGTACCGAGAAGTAGGGTCACAGTGAGGAACCTGACCGTGTGGCTCCTAGGCATTCTGAACTGCTTTGTGGGAGGAATGTGGAAGAGTTTGGAGATGTGAGCTAGAGAAGCCCTCAAATGTTAGAAGCAAGCTTAATAAACCAGTCTGGTGGGGAGTTCAGAGACCAGAAAACTGGCAGGTATGTAGACAGTAAGGACCCTGCTTACAGGGTTTCAAAGAGGAACAGGGACTCTATTAGGATTTGGGTTAGGGACCTTTATGTTATATTCTGGCAAGAAAATCTGGCTGTATTTTGCCCACCTTCTGAAAACTTGAGCAAGGTTAAATTCAAACTAATGTGCTAACTGTTTGACAGAGGAGATTTTAAGCCAGCACAACGTGCAAGCTGTGCCCTGTGTTAGAGTTTCTCAGAGGAAGAGTATCTTAGCAGATGGGGGACAAAGAATGCCACAAAGATCATACCACACAACAGATCTCATACAAGAGATTTATTGGGGGTGGGGGCAAAAGGCCACCTCTGAGCGGAGACAAGAAAGAGACAGAGAGAAAGGGGCCACTGTGGTGGAGGCCTTAGAAGGGTATGCAACTCGTGACAAGAGTGGAAATGTGTCCCATTTGGTGGCAAGTAAGGACATGGCTGTTGGCACTGAGTTGCTGAAGGCAGGCTGGGGGAACACATGGCTCCTACCAGCCTGGTTATTACCTTCTGCATCTACCCAGATGTGCAATGAGAGCAGAAAGATGTGAAGATGTGCATTTTGCAAGGGAAGTAGTTTGAACCTGCTTCAAGTTGAGGATGGATGGGTTCAGACAAGTTGAACAATAGGCAAGTGCCATGAAGGGAAGACCCCACTCATCTGAGAGCTGCAGGGTGTAGCAGTGCGAACTCATTTCAGAGTGCTGGAAAGGTAGAGCCTTCAGCGCGTTTTGTTGCTGCAGCTGCCCAGAAGGGCCAGGCTGCCTCTCAGGCTGGCCGCTGAACTTGTCGTCCTGGTGGTGCTGGTTTTGTGGACACAGAAGATGCCAGAGTGAAGGGGTCCTGGAGACTTGTACCAAGGTTCTAGGAGAGGCCAGGCCATGTGCCGTGGGGTCAAAGTCGCTGCACAGAGCTCCTAAGTTGATTGTGGGAAGTTGTAAAGGTGAAACATCTACGGTTCTAGAGACCTCGGGATATGAGAGACTGCTGAGAAAAGTCTCAGGGACCCGGTGAAGCAAGTTCAAGACAGAGGCACAGTTCCATTCTCAAGTCGTCAGACCTGGAGGGCTTGGGCTGCCTGTGGGAGGCCAAGTGATGCCAGCAGAAGCCGAGATGCCAGCCATGGCGCTGCACAGGGTTGTGTCTGCCTTGCCAGGTTTTGGTTTTCTTTGGTCCTTAAGCCTTGCTGTTCTCCCATCCCTTCCCTTTAGTGATGCTCATGTCACTGTATAGTAGAGGTTTCTACTTGTGGTTCGATTTTGCAAAGGGCCTGGAGAGATGGCTCAGCAGTTAGGAATACTAGCTGCTCTTCCAGAGGACCTGGGTTCAATTCTCAGCCCCTACATGGGTTCAATTCTCAACCACCTATTATTTTAGTTCCAGGAGCTCCAATGCCTTCTTTTGACGTCTATGGGCACCAAGCACGCATGTGGTGCATATAGACACACATTCAGGCAACTACTCCTACACAAAAAATAAAAAATTAATTAACTAATTAAAAATAAAAAGAGTCAGGTGGTGGCAGCAGCATGCACCTTTAATCCCAGCACTTGAGAGGCAGAGGCAGGTGGATCTCTGAGTTTGAGGAAGTTCTAGGACAGCCAGGGCTACACAGAGAAAGCTCTGTCTCAGAGAAACAGGCAGCAGGGTGGGGTGGGGAGAGATGGCTGTCAGTAATGTGCTTGCTGTGCAGGAGGACCCAGCTGAGTTTGAGCTCCAGAACACATGCAAGACACACACACACACACACACACACACACACACACACACACACACACACACACAAAACAATGAGGCAGGTGGTAGGGATCCCCATGCTGGGGAGGCAAAGATAGGGAGACCGCGATGGCTTGCTGGACAGCCAGCTGCCCTGGTTTGCTTCCTGTTGCCGTGGTAGTAGACACCGTGACCAAAAGCCACTTGAGGAGGAAAGGGTTTATTTCAGTACAGCTTGTAGTCCATCACCGAGGGAAGTCCTGGCCGGAGCTCAACTAGAACAGGAACTCTTGCAGGTGGGAACCTAAAACAGAGACGGCAGAGGAATGCTGCTTGCTGGCTTGCCCCCTGGCCTTTGCTCTGCTAGATTCCTTAGGAAGCCCAGGGCCATGTACAGAATAAAGACGACACTGCCCGTGGTGTGCTGGCTCCTCCTACATCAGCTAGCAATCAAGACAATGCCCCCCCAAAAACATGCCCGTGGGCCAATCTGATGCCCTACACGCGTGCTCATGGGCCAGTCGAGGGCCCTGCTTTCTGGGTGTGTCAACTTGACAACCAAGATGAACCAGCCTAGTCTACTTGGCAAGTCCTAGGCCAGTGAGAGACCCCCCAACAGAAACAAAGTGCACAGTGGTTGGCCTCTGACCTCCACATACATGTGCACTCTCGTGCACAAACATGAACATGTGCACAGAACAACAGCTAGAGAGAGCACCCTAGATCTCAGCAAAGACTTCAGACTTTTGGACTGTTAATACTTTGGGACTGAATGCCATGAGCACATATATGAATGGTTATGTTGTGCTGAACCGGGTGGCTTGTTGAGCTCAAGCTACAGGGCCCTGGGCACATTTTGGTAAAGGAGCTATTTCTATCTTGAATGCAGGAATTTGATGGAGTCACCTGAGGTTTTTCTTCCTCGTGTGTTCTAGTCATTGTGTTAGGTTTTATAGGTTTAAACGTCAGTGTTAGTGTGTCAGAGCACACACAGCAGGGCATGTTATAATGTCTTTAGCCCCCTGGCTTATTCAGTGAGGGCAGAGAGTGACTTCCTGGTCCAGGATAAACACTCTTCTTCGCCTCTGTCCAATAACAGCTGTTCCGTGCTGTAAGGGGTTGGGCTAAGAGCCTTTGCACCTCCATGCAGTTCCTGTGATTCTCTCTAAACTCCTGGGCGCTGGTGGGGTACACCGTTCCTCGCTGTGTCTTTGTCCTCTCAACATCCCTCCAACTTCTCTCTAGCTCAAGAGGGCCAGCAGTGAGGACATGCTCACCAAACCTGGAACCGCCTCAGCCGGGGCAGTGCGACTGAAGAAGACCTCCACCTCCGGAGCCATCTCCGAGCTCACTGAGAGCCGCCTGAGAAGCACCGCAGGTAGGAAGGGCCTCCGTGGCCTCCTGTCCTGTGGAAGCTCCCTTTGACTCATGATCCCTCCTCCGCTCACCCTGGCCTGGAGCTGCTCTGGGGGCGTAGTCCTCACCTGTGGAATTCGTGCACTGGGGAGACACTGTACAGCCGGGGAGTGGGGGGAGAGAAAGGCAGCGGTTTGCCCTGTCGCCCCAGGAGTCCGCTGGTCACTAGTGTGTGCGGAATCCTCTTAGCAAGGTGGTGGAGCTCCGGAGTCATCCTGGGTGATGGCAGTGGATGGCAGTGGGTCATGGAAAGGCCCAAGGTGAGGAAAAGCTGAGGTCTTCCTTGAGCATCATGGTTGTTCCTCTTACCGCTTTTCAACCCATTTCACAAAAACATCACATTCCAAAGATATATCGACATTTATTTGGCCTTCAAGAAGTTTAATGTGAGGACAGAATGTGGCTTTGGGCGTCAGGAGAGGGGCCTGTGTTTCTACGGGATGACTTAGCTGTTTTAAAGACTGAATTCATACTAAAGACAACAGATGAAAGTAAAGCTTATTTTCACCAAGCAAGCCTCTCCTACTGATTCCAAAGTTAACAGATGCCGTTCATTAATTAAAAATTAATGCCAGCCTTATTCTCCATATTAATGTAAAAAAAATTAAAATGTTAGCAGATGCTGTCCAAGAAATTTTAGAAGGACAGTAGCGGACAGTACCACCAAGTGGAGTTGTGCCATCTAAAAATGAATGAATGAGGGACTTGGGAGATGGTTGGGCGGTTAAGAGCACTTGCTGCTCTTCCGGAGGACCCAGGTTCGATTCCAGATAGTGGCTCACAACTGTCTGTAATTCCATTTCCAGGGGATCCAGCTCTCTCTCCTGGCCTCCATGGGGATTGCACACATGTGATGCACAGACATACATGCAGGCAAAATACTTATACACATAAAATAAAATGAAATCTTTTTTTAAATGAGTAAATGAATGAATGTTATCATTATATGCCTGCCAGGCATATCATAGGCCAAAGAAAAACCACATAGCCATCTTGATAGATTTGGGCAATGGAACTGTCAGAATTAACCACCATGTCAGTTTAGTAACAAACTCTTGATAGACAATGAGAGTGTGTGTGGTGGGGGGGTGGGGGGGCACCTCTAGCAAAGAAGTATGTTATCTGGCTGCACTCGGCAACGTTTAACCGTGGTCCCAGATACTCAGACAGGAGTGTCACCTGAACCCGCAAGTTCAAGGCTGGTTAAGCAGGACAGAGACTTCATCTCAAAAAATAAGTAAAGGTGGAGGTGGAGGCGGGAGGATCGGGAGTTCAGGCCAGCCTAGGTTCCACGGTACCTTGTCTGAAAGAAAAAGATTAAATAGTTCTCTGATTAGTGACTGGTTAGAAAATATAATATTGGAAGAAATGATCTCATGTAAGAAAGGATGTGGAGCCAAATCATGGTGGCGCACGCTTTTAATCCCAGCACTTGTGAGGCAGAGTCAGGTGGATCTCTGTGAGTTTGAGGCCAGCCTGGTCTACAAAGCAAGTTCCAAAACAGCCAGGGCTACAAAGAGAAACCCTCCCTCAAAACAAACAGACAAACAAAAAAGTAGGAAAGAAAGGAGAAACACTTAGCAATAAACTTAGGTAAGTAAGAGCCTGTATATTAAAAGAAATCTAACGCTCTTTTGAAGAACACTGCTATGTCCTTGTGAATAAATGGGAGGAAATGTGTGGGTTTGGGATAGGAAGATTAAATATAGTAGAGACTAAATTCGGTCGTGTCATATATTAAATGTAATAAGGGTGTCTAAATTATTCCATCAATTCATTTTCATCCTAATTAGCATATCAATGTGGAACTGGGAGCAGCCCTGAGTAAAATGATACTGAGGACTCAGTCACCAGCCAGCAAGCACTAGGCCCCGGGGAAGGTATTTTGGGTTGTCCTGACTGGGAGGTTATATTTCCACCTAGTGGATAGAGACAGAGATGCTGCTAGTCATAGCCTGCAGGAGAGCAGGAGTGTCCTGCCTGACTGGGTAGACCTGCTGCTGGGAAGCCCTGATCTAGTCTCATCCCGGGATAACCAGGGAAAGTCTGGAGAAGAGCAATCGAAGACAGCGCAGTGGAGCCCTGGAGGAAGGCCAGGATCCACACACACATTTGGTATAGGGTAAAGGTGGTTTATGTCAAGTTGGAGCCTGTGGGCGTGGCTTAGGGTCAAGCTCGAATTCAGCAGGTGAGAGGTCCTGAGTTCAATCCCTGAAAAAAGAAGTTAAAGTAAGTTAAGTAAAAACCAGGTAACTCTGAAAAATAAAATTGGATCCTATCTCATTCTTCCTTACAGAAATAAGTCACAGGGGTGTGTGGGAGGGTAAAATACTTGCTGTGCAAGGACAAAGGCTTGTGTTCCATCCCTAGTGCCCATGTGCAAAGGAAAATGAGGCAGGCGCTTACCTGTGACCTCAGCCCCGGGGCAGTGGAGGCAGCTGGATCTCCAGGGCTTTCTGACCGGCCAGCCTGGTGAGTGCTGAGTCCTAGGTTCAACGAGAGACCCTGTCTCACAAAACAAGGTGGAGAGAACACAGATGACACTCAGTGTTGATCTGCACACACATGCACACGCACACAAACATATACAACACATCCACATTTGTACATACATAGATATAGTGAAAGTTTGAAAAATAAAAATAAAGGAGACACCAGAGAGTTAACCTGTAGTAGGCACTAAGGAAATGGAGAGAGGTGTTCCGTCGTTAACAAGCTCCTAAGGGCACGAGAGAGATGGCTCAGCAGTGAAGAACGCTTGCTCTCTCGGAGGACCTGGGCTCTGTTCCCAGCACCCATATGGCAGCTGTCAGCCACCTGTGACTCCAGTTTCCAAGGGATTTGATACATTCTTCTGTCCTCCACCAGCACCAGACACACACACACACACACACACACACACATACACACACACACATACACACACACACACACACACACACACATATGAAGGCGAACACTCATACACATAATATATATATATACATATATATACTTTTTAAAGGATGCTGAAGGGATTATTCAAAATACACGCAAGTTTACAAAGACTATTCAAACCCATAAGGAAAACTGTAGAATATGGAGCTCACATAAAAAGAAATAGATATCCCATAGAAAAACAGTAAGCTTCATTTGTAGCTGAGGAGCTATTAATCAGAACAAAAATCCTATATGTGATACCCCCAACTTAGAAAAATCAAAATAGGTAAGCAACACTATTGTTACTATGGGTAATAGGAGAAGACACACTCCTTAGGAACAGTTTGGACAACCTGGTGACACCTGAAGCTTTTTCATTTGGCTGGCTGGCCAGTGAGCACCAATGACTCTTCTATACCTATAGCCCCAGTGCTGGAATTAAACTCTGTGTGTGTGTGTGTGCGCGCGCACACACACACACACATCTATGGAGTAATGTAATGATTAATGTTTGTGGTCAAACTTGACTGGATTGGAATAATCTGGGAGACACCTAGATGGGGTGAGGTCTTCTGCTAAATACAGAGGGAGAGAGAAGAAAGTGGAGCCGAGCTTCGGTACCCATCCCGCTGCTTCCCAAGGGCAGCGTGCCCGCCTGGCGCTCCGATTGCCGTGCCTTCCTGCCATGATGGACCGCCCATGCAATGCCTGAGCCTAAGTCAGCGTTTCTCCCTTAAGTGGCTTCTTGTCAGGCCTCTGGTCACAGGGACGAGGAAAGCCACTGCTGATACAGATGCAGAGGCCGCTCACGTGTGCCATGTGATCAGATCTGGCCACGGGCCTATCACCTGCACTGCCAGTCATTTCTTATTTAGGTGTGCCATGCGCTGTGATTCTAAACCTGCACTCGGCCAGCATCCATCTCAAGCAGGCGGGAGGGGAGCTGCTCAAGCTGGGAAGGAAGCAGGGGCCCCTAGAAGCCTTCCTTCTCATTCCTTCAAAGACTGTCTAGTTTCCCTGTGCCCTGGTGCATGGCCAGAATTTGTTTCAACGGGAACAAAGAATGCAGCATCTACTAGGCCAAGCCGGCCACCTGCTGCCCTGCCCCCTACTGCCCTGCCCCCTGCTGCCCTGCCTCCTGCTGCCCTGCCCGCCTCCCCTCGGTCCCCGGCCTCTCAAGCCTGTTGGCACTTCTTCTTCAGACAGACTTAGGGCTCTAACTGTTTCGTTGGGTCTGAACCATCAGAGAGGTTGGGGTTCCAATCAGCCTCGCCCATGTCATGTCCACCCTGGGTGCTCACTTTTGGACTTTCTGAGTAAGTCATGTCTTCCTCCTCCTCTTCTCCCTGGGGTGCCCTTGACATGTGCCTCTTCTTCCCCAGCCACGCAGATGGCAAAGCAAGGAGTTTTTAGAGCTCTTCTGGCAAGAGCGGGCTTCTCAAGTCAACAGGACGCGGGGAAGAGCCTGCTGTGGTGGAATATAACCACCAGGTGGCAGCCTTGTCCAAAATACTGAGGTGCTGGAGTCTTGGTTTGATGAAGAACTGTTGACCTCAGAAATGATGTTTCTTTAATCCAACAAATAATTTTGAACACTTACTCCATGTGAATTCAAGCACTGTCCTGCGGAAAAGGTACCAGGACAAAGACCGTTGCCTGCATCGAGACACCTGAGCAGATCATGACCAAGAAGGACAGGAGGCCAGGTGGTGACCGGGCAGGGCCACTGTGGCAGGGTTGACTGCCCGTGCCCACCAGTGTCCAGCACAGCCTGGGGGCAGAGAGACAGACCACAGGCGAGCCAACAGCTGGGTAGGCAGGCGTGGGTGACTTCTGCAGGGTTCTCTGGAATAGGGACAGCTTCCGAGTTCATTCCCTGTGGAACTCTTTGGCTGCTTGTTGAAAGTAGACAGGTGGGATGGAGACATGATGGGTGGCCGCTGTCATAAATGAGGAAATAAGTTGTATTGCCTGGGCTAGGCTGGGAGCTGGGGGCAGCAGGCAGGTTCTGGGTATATTTTGAAGGCTAACCAGCCTAATGCC